CTTGTATTCTCTGCCTCCCTTATCCTGTGTGTGCCATGGCTGCCCACCCAGTGGCCAGGCCTGCAAGTCCATCCCCCGTAGTGCAGATGCACATCTATAGTTACTCAACTACAAAGCTTGCCTCTAACAGAAGCTGGCTTACCCATTATCGGCGGGTAGGAAATGATGTCAGAACAATGCAGATGTCAAGTTAGTTCAGAGGGTTGTTCCCCAAGCAAGAGGAGCCTGAAATGGAGAATTGCAACCTTTCAGAAGAAAGGAGAGCTTGGTTTGCTTAAGTTAGCTGCTGTGTACCCTTTGGGCTGTATTTTGATAAAATCAGAAACAAGAGCCCACACTTGGGTAGCCCTCTGCAGGGCTTCATCCCAACCTCACCAGGCTCTGGCTCTTGGGTGACGACTCAAGTACATCTGAATGGCAGACTCTCAGGTGCAGAATTTGCTTCCATCTGCCCTGTCCACCATCCTTCTCTAAAAGCTGCCAGTATTTTCACTCGTTTTTGTACATTATCCACTGGCAGTCTCTTGACTGGGAGGTCTGAATTATATATCCTCTGACGTGTTTTTTTTTTCACGTTCGAATTATACCATGAATTGAGTTTGAAGTCCTAACCCTTCTCCCCCAACCCTGCAAACCTTGTTAGTTTTTATGTGTAATTTTCAAAGATGGGGGTTTTTTGTTTCTGTAGTAGACATATGTACTGCGTTGTAGCAGAATTCCCTCTTCCCTCTGAATGTTCTCAAGTTCGTGGCCAAAAAAATAGTTATGAAGAACAAGGAAGACCAGGCATATGCAGAACAGGTTGTGTCTGGAGAAAAGGTGTGAAGGTGGCTGCTGGTGCAGGGGAGGGCGGCTGTAGGTCTTGAGCTTCGTGGGCAGCCGGGTCCCTGTCCCAAGGCCTGGCCCCTCTAACTGGGCTCCCTGGGAAATGGACTTTGCTTAATATTTCTTACTTGAGGAGCTTGGTAGTCCACTAAGGGAAAAAAATTTTTTTTTTTACATTTTGAAAATGAGTAAGAGCCTACCTCCTTACAAGCCCCATAACCATTTTGGTTAGCCTGGATCCTTAATTCAGTAATTAATGACTGATTTTCTCAAAAGACAGGTCAGCCAGTCTAAGTTGCCATCCTTTAATGTGTTTCTGTATCTTTTTTTCTCTTCCAAGTGGAACAGGCCAGAAACTAGCAGACAAAAGCAGCAGCAGGGCCCACTGAAGGGCTTGTTCTGTGAGTTCTTGGAAACGCCTCTGTGACATGTTCATGCAAGTGGATATGTTGGAGAAATAGGATATGCTTTGTAGTTTAACTGACATATATGAGCGAAATCCAGAGATTTCTTGGTAGTAGACACCAATTTTTTTTAATGTTCATAATGTATTTGATAATATAAAAGAATCTGTCTGCCATAAAAGAGCTTACAGCTATTTCTCTGCAGTGGGTATGGAGGAAATGAGCAAAGATGTGCTATTCTGTATGGGTGTTTACATCCTTACTCCAAGGCAAATAAATAAAAGTTGTGTTTGCTCAAACCTGTCCCTGGTCGTCTGTTCTCAGTCATGCTGGGGAAAACTGAGTCAGGTGAACACAGAAAATGTTTTTTCACATTCTTCTCCATAGAAACGGGTGTAGAGCCAAAGTAATGACTTCCTTGGTACTTTTCAGGTTCAGGTAGCATTTGTTGAAAACACTTCAACATTACACATGGGAAGTCTGTGAGAACTTAAGGTCAAGACAACACAATTCTCTGTTTTACTGGAATCAAAGTGACGTTTGAATGGGGGGATCCTCTAATAGGTAAGAGACGGCACATCTGCTTTTAGTTCTTAATGCTAATATTTTTGTGTTGAGGTTCTATACTCCACTGTCAAGAAAGATAAATTACATGGAGGGGATGAGAGTGGGGAGAACGCGGCTGCCCAGACACCACAGTGGCACCTGCCTAAATCAATGGCAACTGGAGCCCTACTCAGTGCTTAATGGGCCAAGCACCTAGTTAGCACTCAATAAATATTCATTGTAAATGGATCTGTGAGTCTCCAGCTAGAATAATGTGGTGCCAGTTTACCCCAGAAATGACCAAATTGGCTGGAGGAACAGAAAGAGCAAGGGAAATGATTTAACCGGCTGGGAGAATTGGTTTGCCGAGGGAAGATCAGTCAGTGGTAAGAGGCAGTGTGACCACTGTTCACACATGTCAGAACATGACGCCAAAGGGGTGAAGGAACCATTCCATTCATGTGAAGGGTTGACTGGTTATTGGTGACAACCATACAATTAATTGTTACAGTTCTCTTAATTTATTCATATAGGGTACTGCCAGCAAGCAGCATTAGAAAATACTTCAGGATTTTGGACAACTAACCGCCCACAGTGACACCAGCAGGGTTCGACCTCACGGGCCCTCCTCTGACCACCCAGGCTATTGCAGGTTCTTGATTCCCATCTCTGCCCCCTATTCTCACTGCCCCACTTGCCCTGGGTTTCTTTGCTTTTTTTTTTTTTTAACTTTTAATTTGGTATTATTAATGTACAATTACATGAGCAACATTATGGTTACTAGACTTCCCCTATAATCAAGTCCCCACCACATACTCCATTACAGTCACTGTCCATCAGGGTAGTAAGATGCTATAGAATCACTATTTGTCTTCTCTGTGTATACTGCTTTCCCTGTGCCCCACCCCCCTACATTATTATGTGTGCTAATCGTAATGCCCTGTTTTCCCCCTTCTCCCTCCCTTCCCACCCATCCTCCCCAGTCCCTTTCCCTTTGGTAACTGTTAGTCCATTCTTGGGTTCTGTGAATCTGCCACTGTTTTGTTCCTTCAGTTTTTCCTTTGTTCTTATACTGCACAGATGAGTGAAATCATTTGGTGTTTGTCTTTCTCCGCTTGGCTTATTTCACTGAGCATAATACCCTCTAGCTCCATCCATGTTGTTGCAAATGGTAGGATTTGTTTTCTTCTTATGGCTGAATAATATTCCATCACGTATATGTACTGCATCTTCTTCATCCATTCATCTACTGATGGACATTTAGGTTGCTTCCATTTCTTGGCTATTGTAAATAGTGCTGTGATGAACATAGGGGTGCATATGTCTTTTTCAAACTGGGCTGCTGCATCCTTAGGGTAAATTCCTAGGAGTGGAATTCCTGGGTCAAATGGTATTTCTAGTTTTAGTTTTTTGAGGGACCTCCATACTGCTTTCCACAATGTTTGAACTAGTTTACATTCCCACCAGCAGTATAGGTGGGTTCCCCTTTCTCCACATCCTTGCCAACATTTGTTGTTGTTTGTCTTTTGGATGTTGGCCATCCTAACTGGTGTGGGGTGATATCCCATTGTGGTTTTAATTTGCATTTCTTTGATGATTAGCAATGTGGAACATCTTTTCATGTGACTTGGCCATCTGCATTTCTTCTTTAGAGAAGTGTCTGTTCAGCTTCTCTGCCCATTTTTTAATTGGATTATTTGCTTTTTGTTTGTTGAGGTGCATAAGCTTTTTATATAATTTGGATGTCAACCCCTTCTTGGATATGTCATTTATGAATATATTCTTCCATACTGTAGGATGTCTTTTTGTTCCACTGATGGTGTCCTTTGCTGTACAGAAGCTTTTTAGTTTGATATAGTCCCACTTGTTCATTTTTGCTTTTGCTTCCATTGCCCAGGGAGATATGTTCATGAAGAAGTTGCTCATGTTTATGTCCAAGAGATTTTTGCCTATGTTTTTTTCTAAGAGTTTAATGGTTTCATGACTTACATTCAGGTCTTTGATCCATTTTGAGTTTACTTTTTTGTATGGGGTTAGACAATAATCCAGTTTCATTCTCTTACATGTAGCTGTCCAGTTTTGCCAACACCATCTGTTGAAGAGGCTGTCATTTCCCCATTGTATATCCATGGCTCCTTTATCATATATTAATTGACCATATATGCTTGGGTTTATATCTGGGCTCTCTAGTCTGTTCCATTGGTCTGTGGGTCTGTTCTTGTGCCAGTAACAAATTGTTTTGATTACTGTGACTTTGTAGTAGAGCTTGAAGTTAGGGAGCGTAATTCCTCCTTTATTTATCCTTCTCAGGATTGCTTTGGCTATTCAGGGTGTGGTTCCATGTGAATTTTAGAACTATTTGCTCTAATTCGTTGAAGAATGCTGTTGATATTTTGATAGGGATTGCATTGAATCTGTAGATTGCTTTAGGTAGGATGGTCATTTTGACAATATTAATTCTTCCTATCCATGAGCATGGAATGTGTTTCCATTTATTGGTATCTTCTTTTATTTCTCTCATGAGTGTCTTGTAGTTTTCAGGGTATAGTACTTTCACTTCCTTGGTTAGGTTTATTCCTAGGTATTTTATTCATTTTGATGCAATTGTGAATGGAATTGTTTCCCTAATTTCTCTTTCTGCTAGTTCATCGTTAGTGTATAGGAATGCAACAGATTTCTGCGTATTAATTTTGTATCCTGCAACCTTGCTGAATTCATATATTAGATATAGTAATTTTGGAGTGGATTCTTTAGGGTTTTTTATGTACAATATCATGTCATCTGCAAACAGGGACAATTTGACTTCTTCCTTGCCAATCTGGATGCCTTTTATTCCTTTGTATTGTCTGATTCCCATGGCTAGGACCTCCAGAACTATGTTGAATAGAAGTGGGGAGAGTGGGCATCTTTGTCTTGTTCCCGATTTTAAAGGAAAAGCTTTCAGTTTCTCGCTGTTAAGTATAATGTTGGCTGTGGGTTTGTCATATACCTTTATTATGTTGAGGTACTTGTCCTCTATACCCACTTTGTTGAGAGTTTTTATCATGAATGGATGTTGAATTTTGTCAAATTCTTTTTCAGCATCTATGGAGATGATCATGTGGTTTTGTCCTTCTTTTTGTTGATGTGGTGGATGATGTTGATGGATTTTCGAATGTTGTACCATCCTTGCATCCCTGGGATGAATTCCACTTGATCATAATGGATGATTTTTTTAATGTATTT